GCAGTGGCACCATCTTGGCTCACTGCAACCTCCATCTCCTGGGTTCAAGCAATTCTCCTGGCTCAGCCTCCCAAGTAGCTAACTGGGACTATAGGCATGCGCCACCATGCCCAGCTAATTTTTGTATTTTTAGTAGAGACAGTGTCTCACCATGTTGGCCAAGCTGGTCTCAAACTCCTGACCTCAGGTGATCCGCCCGCCTCAGCCTCCCAAGGCCTTGGGATTACAGGCATAAGCCACTGTGCCTGGCCAACAGTAAAGAGAAATCTGTGTACCCTTCACCCAGTTTTTCCCCAGTGGTAATATCTTGCATACATATAGTGCAATATAAAACCAGGAAATAGACAATTGGTACAATTCACAGATCTTATTTAGATTTAACCAGTTTTACATGAACTCATTTGTGTGTGTGTATAGTTCTATACAATTTTATCACGTGTAGGTGTAGATTCATGTTCACCACCACCACCACAATCAAGATACAGAACAGTTTCATTACCACACAGATTCCTTACACCACTGGTTTATGGGGATACCCCTTTCCTGTCATCCAAAACTCCAGGCAACCAATACCTATTCTTTATCTCTATAAGCTTGTCATTTTAAGAATGGTATATAAATGGAATAATACAGTATGCAACCATTTTATATTGGTAGTTTTCACTCAGCATTTTTTTTTTGTGATCCATCCTTCTTGTTGTATGTATTAAGAGTTTATTCTTTTTTTTTTATTTTTTGAGACAGAGTCTTGCTCTATCGCCCAGGCTGTAGTGCAGTGGTGTGATCTCGGCTCACTGCAACTACCGCCTCCCGGGTTCAAGCAATTCTCCTGCCTCAGCCTCCCAAGTAGCTGAAATTACAGGCATGTGCCACCACGTTTGGCTAATGTTTTTGTATTTTGTGGTAGAGATGGGGTTTCACTGTGTTGGCCAGGTAGGTCTCAAACTCCTGGACTCAAGTGATCGGCCCACCTCGGCCTACCAAAGTGCTGGGATTATAGGCATGAGCCACCACACCCATCCTTGTTCTCTTTTTATTGCTATGTAGAATTCTATGCTATAGATGTACCTTTGTTTAGCCATTCACCATTGAAAGCATTTGGATCGTTTCCAATTTTTGGCTACTGTAAATAAAGTTTGCATGAACATTTTCATACTGGCTTTTGTGTGGACATAAAGGGTATGTTTAGTTGTGTTTGTTTGAAACTGCCAGATTGTTTTCTAGAGTGGCCATGTCATTTATATTCTTTTTGGGGGGAGTAGGGGACAGAATGTCGCTCTGTCATCCAGGCTGGAGTACAGTGGCATGATCTTAGCTCACTGCAACCTCCGCCTCCCAGACTCAAGTGATTCTCCTGCCTCAGCCTCCCGAGTGGCTGAGACTACAGGTGTGTGTCACCATGCCTACCTAATTTTTGTCTTTTTAGTAGAAATGGGGTTTTGCCATGTTGGCCAGGCTGGTCTCGAACTGCTGATCTCATGTGATCTGCCCACTTCGGCCTCCCAAAGTGCTGAGATTACAGGTGTGAGCCACTGCACTCAGCCGCCATTTACATTCTTACCAGCAATGTATGAGAGATCTCATTTCTTTGCATCCTTGCCAGCATTTGGTATTGTGACCAATTTTTTTTTTGAGATGGAGTTTCGCTCTTGTTACCCAGGCTGGAGTGCAATGGCGCGATCTTGGCTCACCGCAACCTCCGCCCCCTGAGTTCAGGCAATTCTCCTGCCTCAGCCTCCTGAGTAGCTGGGATTACAGGCACACGCCACTGTGCCCAGCTAATTTTTTGTAATTTTTAGTAGAGACGGGGTTTCACCATGTTGACCAGGATGGTCTCGATCTGCCGACCTCGTGATCCACCCGCCTCGGCCTCCCAAAGTGCTGGGATTACAGGCTTGAGCCACCGCGCCTGGCCGTGACCAATTTTTTATCGTAGCTATCCTAATAGATGTATAGTAATATCTCATTGTGGTTTTAATTTGCATTTCTCTAATGGCGAATGATGTTGAACCTCTTTTCATTTACTTATTTGCCATCTGTATCTTCCTTTAGGCAAAATGTCTGTCATTTTTCTTGTCTATTTTCTATTTGGATTGATAGTCTACTGGTGAATTTACAGTTATTTGTATATTCTTGATATGATTCCCTTGTCAGATAATTATTCATGAACATTGTCTCTTGGTAGCTTGTCTTTTTGTCCTTTTTAATAGGGTCACAGAATATAGTTTTGATAAAGTCCAATTTATTGATTTTTTTAAATTTTATGGATCATGCTTTCAGTGTCGTGTCTCAGAACATTGCACATAGTCCTAGGCCTCTTAAATTTCTATTTGAATTTTAAGATCAGCATGTCAATTTCTGCAAAAAAAAAAAAAGCCAACTGGAATTTTAATGGAATTGGATTAAATTTGTAGATCAATTTTTGGAGTAGGGACAGAGTCTCACTCTGTTGCCCAGGCTGGAGTACACTGGTGGGATCTCAGCTCACTGCAGCCTCTGCTTCTCGTGTTCAAGCAATTCTCCTGCCTCAGCCTCCCAAGTAGCTGAGATTACAGGCACATGCCACCATGCCTAGCTACTTTTTTATTTTTAGTAAAGACAGGGTTTTGCCATGTTGGCCAGGCTGGTCTCAAACTCCTGGCCTCGGGTGATCAGCCCACCTTGGCCTCCCAAAGTGCTGATATTACAGGGGTGAGCCACTGTACCCAGCCCTGATGGTAGTTTTGACTGCCCAGATTGTACACATTTTTGAATACTGACTTACGGTTTATGAAATGCTTTTACATCTGTGATCTCATTTGATCCTCATAAGATCAAACCTATATTGTAGACATTACTATCCGTATTTTACACTTAAGAAAACAGAACCTCAAAGAGATTGTGACTTGCCTAAGTTCACTGAGCCAAGAAGTGGAAAAGCTGGAAATGCAAAGCCCATATTCTTTTCACTACATCAGTATAGGCAGGGCATCACTCCAGACCTAATGAATCACAATCTCCAAGTGGTGAGAGCTGGGCATGTGATTTTCAGAAAGCTCTGCTGGTGAGTCTGATGCTCACAGAAGGTTGCTACAGCACTGTATTATGCTGCCTCTTCTTTAAGACTTCTTTTACTTGAAATCTTTATCTCTTGGGCTTGAAATATTGATTTCTAGTCATAGGAAGATGAATAAATTTTCAGAACTCGCCTGAATTATTAGAACTTTGATTTTTTTAAGATAAAATCTGAGTAATGATAGACACTTTATGGGTTGTTTGAACATTAAAATTTCATATTGTTTTATATAAGAACAGACAGCAGCATTCATCCTCTGATATGAGGTTTGTCACTCAGCATTTCTCTTTATAAGATTTTCTCCACTTTAAATAATGAATTAATCATCAAGTATTCATAGAATATAGTGTAGACAGGAATGTTATTTTCTAATCTCTATATAGTGATTTGGCTTATAGAGGCACTTGTGTTAGCAATTTATTTTCCCCTTTAATAATATCTAGTATTAAAGCCTTATAAGAGTATCTACTCAGAAAGATGTCAGGCTTACTATTCAGCAGGTAGAGGACAAAACTAGCTAACATCTTACGTTGTTTATATATTCTCTCTACTCAATTCCTTTATTATTTAAAGCACAATAATATTTGATACCACATAAAGAAGAGAAGAAAATACCAAATGTAGTACTTTATAAGATTATTTTCTTGTGTGTATCCATGGTTTTTTTTTCTTAATGCGTTGTCTTTTTTTTTTTTTTTTTTGATGACAGTCTCGCTCTGTCGTCCAGGCTGGAGTGCAGTGGTGCGATCTCAGCTCACTGAGATCCGCCTCCGGAGTAGCTGGTATTACAGGTTCCCCCCATCATGCCCAGCTATTTTTTTTTAAAGTAGAGACAGGGTTTCACCATTTTGGTCTTAAACTCCTGACCTCAGGTGATCCACCCACCTTGGCCTCCCAAAGTGCCCACTCATTCAGTATCAACTCTGTGTCACCAAAAATTCTTACCACTTATTCCTCTGTATTTTGAGCAAGCTATCATGTTTAGCTTGAACAACTAGCATTGCTAAGAATATTAGAAAACAAAATAAGATTTTTAAACACTAGTTAATATGAGCCACCGTGCCTGATTAAACTAAGTTCTTAAATGGCTGAAACAAGCCTCTTCCACAAGTGCTAAAGTAATGTGTGATCCATGTTTTCATTCATTTGGGATGTTCAGTCATAGAATGGTAGAACTGAAAGGAACCCTACAGATAGTCTAGTACAGTCACCTCACTTTATGGATGAGAAAACAATCTGTGAGAGCTTAAGGCTCAAAGTTATACATAATAAATGGCAGAGTTGCTCTTCTGGCTTCATGATGAGATTGTACTAAGCTGCTTTTCTTTTTACTCAATTTTTGTTTTTTTAAAGAGATGGTATTTTGCTCTCATCTGTGGCAGGAGTGGACTGGTATCTTCTTAGCTTACTGCAGCTTCGAACTCCTGGACTTGAGCAATTTTCCCGCCTTAGCCTCCAGAGTAGCTGGGACTATAGGTGTGTCCCACCATGTCTGGCTAATTGATAAACTGTTTTTCACAGTGGATATACATAACAGTTCAGACTGTGAGGTTATTGTGAGCTTAAGACAAAGACTGCTGTTTAACTTAATTCCTCTAATATAGAAGTTTACATGAGAGCTATTCAAATTGCAGAAGCATCTAGTAGACCTGGTATTATTTCATAATATAATAACATAAGGTAGTACAACCAGTTTTTGCATTTCCAGAAAAAGTAAATGACTCCTGTTCATTTAGTATCAACTCTGTGTCACCAAAGATTCTTACCACTTATTCATCTGTATTCTGAGCAAACTGTCATGTTTAGCTTGAACAGTTAACATTGCTAAAAATATTAGAAAACAAAATAAGACTTTTAAACACTAGTTAAAATATGCTAAAATTGACTTAGAGACAACTTTGTCATTTTATTTTAACCAATTATTGACATTCTTTGTCTTTTTCAGGCAGTTTTTCAAGGGGATTTTCAAAGAGCATCTATGTGTGTACTGCAATGTAAAGATATGTTGGTGAGGCTCCCTGAAATGGTGAGTGAAATCTGCATTCTCCAAGAGTTTAAAAATATGCTATTTCAAGTTCCAGGAAAAATCATTACTACTTCATGTAACCTTTCAGAGATTCTATTTGAGATCAGTTCCACTTAAGTAACTGATCGTTGAAATATTTTGCTTCCTTTGTTCTTTACCAGAAAGGGCATTTGAAAAAGCTATATGGAATATTTCTCTTTTTTCTTTTTTCTTTTCATTTTTTTTTCCAGAATATTATAGTTTATTTCATATATATCTTGAATTAAATAGAAACAAATAACTGTTAAAAAGTTTGGACTTTCCTCTTTGTAGTTTTTTTTTCCTTTTCATTTTTTTTTAAAACTCTTGTCTTCACTCTGTCGCCCAGGCTGGAGTGCAGTGGTGTGATCTCAGCTCAGTACAACCTCCACTTCCTGAGTTCAAGTGATCCTCATGCCTTAGCCTCCTGAGTAGCTGGAATTACAGGCCTGTGCTACGTTTTGTGTTTTTAGTAGAGATGGGGTTTCACCATGTTGGCCAGGCTGGTCTCGAATTCCTGGCCTCAAGTGATCCGCCCACTTTGGCCTCCCAAAGTGCTGAGATTACAGGCATGAGCCACCATATTTCGCCGATATGGAATATTTCTTAAAATTTTCTTTGCTTTGTCTTTTATTGTCAAACAATTTTCCTAACATTTGCTCCATATTTCATGCTATACAAGAAAAGAAAGAAAAAAAAAAGGAGTTTATTTGTCTGCTGACAAGGTTGATAGTAGTTAATCACGTTACTGCCATAGTATTTTTCTACACTGGGATTTGGAGATCTGAGAGGTTTGATAGGATAAAGCCTGTATCCCAGACTGGAGCTCATGAAAACTCTTAAATACATAGTTTTTTGTGTTTTCATTTTATCTTCCCTTACCATTCTTTCTCTCCTATTGTAGTGCCTATGGCTACGTCAGTCTTTACTATCACAGAGGAATTAATAATGGAGACATAATTGGATATTAGGGAGAATGTTTCCAGTATTACATACATAGTATTTATTTGTGAGATTGGTCTTTTTCCCCAAATTGGGTGTCATAATGTAGAACTTAATTCAGTAAACATATGTTGCCTGTTATGTGTCACGTCAGACATTGTTCTAGGCTTTAAAAACTTGTAAAACAATTTCACATTTATAGAAAAGTTATAAGAATAGTACAAAGAACTCCTGTATACATTTTGCCTAGAGACTTAATTCAAGTTTTCCAATAATGTCCTATATAGCAAATGGTTTCAATCTAAAATTATACATAGTCTCCAGTCTTCTTCAATCTGGAAATCTGGAGCACTTCCTCATTCTTGCCTTGTGGTTCATGATCTTGGCAGTTTTGAAGATTATAAATGAGTCATTTTGTAGCATGTGATTTAATATGGGTTTAGCCAAAGTTTCCTCATGACTAGAACAGGTTATGAATTTGGGGCCAGAAAAATCACAGAAGAGATTCTGTGTTCTAATAGCTTCTTATTGGGTGGTATACAGGATTGATTTATACTATTACTGGTGGTGCTAGCCTTGATCTCTTGATTAAGATCGTATCTTCCAGGGTTTTTCACCATAAACCTATGCATTTCCCCTTTGTTATTCATAAGTATTTTGTGAGTGATACACTGAAACTATGGAAAATAATTTCTCATTCTACTTTCACCATCTTTATTCTTGTTTCCTCTATTTTTTAGGTTTATTGGGGTATAATTGACAGAATTTATATATATTTATGGTATATAACATGATATTTTAATACATTAAACATTGTGAAAAGATCACCACAATCAAGCCAATTTATATATTCATCAGCTCACAGTGTTTTTTTTGTTCAGAAACATTTAAGATCTACTTTCTTAGCAATTTTCAAGTATACAATACATTATTATAATATTAACTATAATACCTGTGCTGTACAGTAGAGCCCCAGAACTTATTCATATAGCCTAAATAAAATTTTGTACCTTCTCCTTCCTTGTTTGACGAGACAGAGTATTGCTCTGTTGCCAGACTGGAGTGCAGTGGCATGATCCTGGCTCACTGCAGCCTCAACTTTCTGGGCTAAAGTGATCCTTCTACCTCAGCCTCCTGAGTAGCTGTAACTACAGGCAAATGCCACCAAGGCTCTCTGGTTGTTTTTTTTTGGAGAGAAGGGGGTCTCACTATATTGCCCAGGGTGATCTTGAACTCCTGGGCTCAGGCAATCTTCTTGCCTCAGCCTCCCAAAGTACTGGGATATAGACAGAAGCCACTGTGCCTGGATACTTTGTACCCTTTGACCAACATCTCCTCATCTGTTCCCCAACCACCTGGCAACCACCCTTCTACTCTGTACATCTATGAAATCAACTCTTTCAGAATCTACGTATAAGTGAAATCATGCAGTATTTGTCTTTCTGAGGCTGGCTTATTTCACTTAGGTTAAGGTCTTCCAGGTTCATCGGTGTTATCACAAAAAACAGGATTTCCTTCCTTTTTATGGCAGACTAGTATATATAAGCACATTTTCTTTACCCATTCATACCTTGTTGGTCTCTTAGGTTGATTCCATAGCTTGGCTATTGTAAATAATCCTGCAGTGAACAAGGGGTTGCAGATATCTCTTAAAGATACTTACTTTTTTTGGATCTATATCCAGAAGTGGGATTACTGGATCATATAGTAGTGATATTTTTAATTTTTTAAGGAACATCTATACTGTTTTCCATAATGGGTATACTAATTTACATTCCCACCAGCAGTGTACAAAGGTTTCCTTTTCTCCTTGCCCTTACCAACACTTATCATTATCTTTTTGATAATAGACATTCTAACAGATGTGAAGTGATATATCTCATTGTGATTTTAATTTACATTTCCCTGCTGGTTAGTGATGTTGAGTATTTTTTCATATACCTGTTGCTGATTTATATGTATTCTTTTTTTTTTAAATTTTTATTGCATTTTAGGTTTGGGGGTACATGTGCAGAACATGCAAGACAGTTGCATAGGTACACACATGGCAGTGTGTTTTGCTTCCTTTCTCCCCTTTACCCACATCTGGCATTTCTCCCCAGGCTCTCCCGCCCCACCTCCCCCTCCCACTGGCCCTCCCCATTTCCCCCCAATAGACCCCAGTGTTTAGTACTCCCCTCCCTGTGTCCATGTGTTCTCATTTTTCATCACCCGCCTATGAGTGAGAATATGCGGTGTTTCATTTTCTGTTCTTGTGTCAGTTTGCTGAGAATGATGTTCTCCAGATTCATGCACGTCCCTACAAACGACACAAACTCATCATTTCTGATTGCTGCATAATATTCCATGGTGTATATGTGCCACATTTTCCCAATCCAGTCTATCATCGATGGGCATTTTGGTTGATATTGTAAACAGTGCTGCAATGAACATTCGTGTGCATGTGTCCTTATAGTAGAATGATTTATAGTCCTTTGGATATATACCCAGTAATGGGATTGCTGGGTCAAATGGAATTTCTATTTCTAAGGCCTTGAGGAATCACCACACTGTCTTCCACAATGGTTGAACTAATTTACACTCCCATCAACAGTGTAAAGTGTTCCTTTTTCTCCACATCCTCTCCAGCATCTGTTGTCTCCAGATTTTTTAATGATCGCCATTCTAACTGGCGTGAGATGGTATCTCAATGTGGTTTTGATTTGCATCTCTCTGATGACCAGTGATGATGAGCGTTTTTTTATATGATTGTTGGCCTCATATATGTCTTCTTTCATAAAGTGTCTGTTCATATCCTTTGCCCAATTTTGAACGGGCTTGTTTGTTTTTTTCCTGTAGATCTGTTTGAGTTCTTTGTAAATTCTGGATATCAGCCCTTTGTCAGATGGGTAAACTGCAAAAATTTTTTCCCATTCTATTGGTTGCCGATTCACTCTAGTGACTGTTTCTTTTGCCGTGCAGAAGCTGTGGAGTTTGATTAGGTCCCATTTGTCTATATTGGCCTTTGTTGCCAATGCTTTTGGTGTTTTGTTCATGAAGTCCTTGCCTACTCCTATGTCTTGGATGGTTTTGCCTAGATTTTCTTCTAGGGTTTTTATGGTGCCAGGTCTTATGTTTAAGTCTTTAATCCATCTGGAGTTAATTTTAGTGTAAGGTGTCAGGAAGGGGTCCAGTTTCTTCTTTCTGCACATGGCTAGCCAGTTTTCCCAACACCATTTGCTGAACAGGGAATCCTTTCCCCATTGCTTGTTTTTGTCGGGTTTATCAAAGATTGTATGGTTGTAGATATGTTGTGTTGCCTCTGATGCCTCTGTTCTGTTCCATTGATCTATATCTCTGTTTTGGTACCAGTACCATGCTGTTTTGATTACTGTAGCCTTGTAGTATAGTTTGAAATCCGGTACTGTGATGCCCCCCGTTGTGTTCTTTTTGCTTAGAATTGACTTGGCTATGTGGGCTCTCTTTTGGTTCCATATGAAGTTCATGGTGGTTTTTTCCAGTTCTGTGAAGAAAGTCAATGGTAGCTTGATGGGGATAGCATTGAGTCTGTAAATTACTTTGGGCAGTATAACCATTTTTACGATATTAATTCTTCCTAACCATGAACATGGAATGTTTCTCCATCTGTTTGTGTCCTCTCTGATTTGGTTGAGCAGTGGTTTGTAGTTTTCCTTGAAGAAGTCCCTTACGTTCCTTGTGAGTTGTATTCCAAGGTATTTCATTCTTTTTGTGGCAATTGTGAATGGCAGTTCGTTCTTGATTTGGCTCTCTTTAAGTCTGTTATTGGTGTAGAGGAAGGTTTGTGATTTTTGCACATTGATTTTATATCCTGAGACCTTGCTGAAGTTGCTTATCAGTTTCAGGAGTTTTTGGGCTGAGGCGATGGGGTTTTCTAGGTATACTATCATGTCGTCAGCAAATAGAGACAATTTGGCTTCCACCTTTCCTATTTGAATACCCTTTATTTCTTTTTCTTGCCTGATTGCTCTGGCTAGAACTTCCAGTACTATATTGAATAGGAGTGGTGACAGAGGGCGTCC